CTTCCGTCCGAAGGAGGATGATGAAGAGATTCTAGAACCTGAAGTTCCTTATCTAAGTGCGATAAGCGCTTTATTGTACTTAACTCAATGCACTAGACCCGACATCTCCTTCGCTGTTAATCTTTTGGCAAGATACATTAATGCACCAACACGCAGACATTGGACTGGCGTGAAAGACATCTTCCGTTACCTTAAGGGTACTACGGATTTGGGCTTATTCTATCCCTACGAATCCTCGAGTGATGCCGCACCCTATGCTCGTCGGGTTGATTCTCGCCTTGTTGGTTATGCCGACGCTGGATACTTATCTGATCCACAAGACGCGTTCTCAAACGGGTTATGTCTTTACCGTTGGAGGCACCACAATATCTTGGAGGTCAACTAAACAGACCTTAGTTGCCACTTCGTCTAACCATGCTGAAATTCTCGCCTTACATGAAGCAACTCGGGAATGCTTTTGGTTGAGAGTAGTAGTGGGTCATATTCGAAGCTCCTGTGATCTTCATCATGCCGTTAATGCCGCGATGACGATTTTTGAAGACAACGCAGCTTGCATCGAACAGCTCAAGAAGGGTTACATCAAAGGAGACAACACCAAGCATATTGCGCCGAAGTTCTTCTTTTACACATCAACAACAAGAACATCAGAAGATTGAAGTCATGCAAATCCGATCACAAGACAATCTGGCCGACCTCTTCACCAAATCACTACCGAAGGCGACGTTTCAGAAGCTTGCTCATGGAATTGGTATGCATAAACTTTCTGAGTTGTAACTTTGCTATTTCTCTTTGGAATTATGTCAAACTTAGGGGGAGTATCTTCTGGATACTTGCTTGATCTTAATGTACTCTTTTTCCCTACGATTAGAAGCATTTTTCCCACTGGGTTTTTGCTACCTAACTAGGTTTTAACGAGGCACCCACCTTGGGCTGGTCATATCCCTGATGACGTCCTGTAGACATTTCTTTTGACTTTGCATTTCTCACGCATTTTTCCTTAGACTATGAATTTTGTCCCTACTCGGGTTTTTGCCATAGCCTTAGGGTTTTTTTAGTGACACTTACTACTTATGCAAGTTCCTACCTTATTGAGAATAAGCGTTGTTCCTTTGAATCAATGTCGACGAGTCGACTTTCTCAACTTTTGCATGATGCTGAATCTACCTTAAGTATTTGCACACTCAAGGGGGAGTGTTGTAAACATTCCTAGAATAAGTATGATTGTGTAAATCCTATATTAGATTTGATTCTAGTTATCCTTTCCTATTACAACTTGTATTACTTGGAGGAGAAGGAATATCTTCTCTCCATTTACTACTATAAATAAAGGCACAATGTAGGAGGGATAACAACACATACATTCCCCTACAATTCTACAAACACACATCTCTCCTCTCTTTCTCTGCCGACGGCCTTAGTCTCTCTGTCAGATAAAAATAGACCACAACAAGTGACAGTTTGTACGTAGCATATTCTAGTAAATTTTAAATAACAATTTAGTAATTAAAAAATTAAAAAGAAATAACCGCTTCTTATTGAGAAGTTAATAGTTTTTTTTTTGTTGAATTTATTCTAAATATAAAATTAAGCCAATTTAAAAAAAGAAAGAATAAAGTATCCAAAAAAAATCAAATGCAAAAGAAAGAAGCTAGTAATAAAATAAGGGTAGTGCTATTTACACATATTTTTTACCTCTCACATATTTTTATTAATTTTGTCATTTGATCTTCTTCAATTTATTTGATTCGATTGCCTAAAATCAAAAGAAGTGTATGAAAGGAAGAAATGAGTGTTTGGATAACATCATCCTAAAATAATTCTTCAACGTATTGGGAAATTCAAATACGAATTGGACTAGCTTGGTTTTAAATTTTTAGAAGGCCCATCAGAATGAGTCCAAATAGGCCCACGTCCCGCCAGCATTAAATTTTTTTTTTTTTCGTCAAAAGAAACAAAAAGGTTAATGCTGGTAAATTGGTAATCCCATTTCTTGAGTTTAGTTTGTAAGCTGTTCATGACGGTATTGAATTTGATCCAAATTGTACTCAAACAGTTCGGAGAAAAACTTGAGTATAACTGGAGACATATTCGAATTGAAATATTCACACAATTAGTGAGACATCTCGAATATCAAGTGCACTTAATCCTTTGGACAAGTTGAAATTTTGGTAAGGTATAACCTACCATAAAATCTTCATATTTATGCGGCTACAAATATCGTGAATCTCATGTCCTATAACGTGTCGTGTTTAAATTTGTTTTGTTTCGTGCATGTCTGAAATTGTCATTCTCGCAAAAACTACCAGAACTCCTACCAAATGCTTGTGAGTCGTGACATGAAAATAGTGCAGAAACATGTGAATCAATATAGAAATTGAGCAAATTAAGAAATTATTCTAATCTAGTTCTGAATCTTCTAATTAACAACATCAATGTGATTTGAACTTGCGTAATCTACGTTTTCACTACACATCGTTGTTTCGCTTGTGTTCTAAGGTTGACAGTAGCTAGAAGATCACAGCAAGAAGCAGAGGAAGGATGCTAACTATTACAGAAAATTTGTTTATTCAAAAGAGCATTAATAAAAACACACATTAAAATTAATCCGGTGCAGGATTTATAGTGGTGGCAGCCACACTACAACAATGGGGCTTCTCACCCTGTGCACTCCATCCTTCCACACCAACCCGCCGAACTCCGGGACTGCCTGCCGGGATTTCGTAGTGAAGATGATTTTGTATGACAGCTTCTGATTGGCTTTGGTGAATTTCAGCGTCCGAGGCTCGACTTTCACATAAGCACCTTTGAACGGTGAAACAATGGCGTGGTAATTCGAAACCGCAGGGCCAACGTTAGTGACAGTTCTGTGAAGTGTCAAAACAGAAACATTTGTTCTCTCCGGGAACACAACCGAGAGTGCCGGATAGTTCAAGTCCCCGGGACTGGCTAGATTGTTCTTGCAACTTCTGTTTGAGTACTTGGTAAAAACTTTGAGCTGTGTTGGTGTTAGCCTTTGTGTGCAGAGGAATTCAAGATAGTCATGCGCCTCAATGTCGTAAATCAATCCCGGGTCAAGAGCCCTCCCCGGGTTTATGTGCCCTGCACCGTGATCGTACGGGGTTGAAATTGAAGCTGCTGAGGAGTCTTGTAGAGGCTTTCGCGTGTTGTCGTGGACATAAGCGGTTGTCATCAAGGCGGACTTTATTGCCGCCGGACTCCAATCCGGGTGCCTTGCCTTGAGCAGAGCGGCAATGCCGCTCACATGGGGGCAGGACATTGAAGTCCCGGACAGTATATTGAACTTCACCCTTCTACGATCTGCTGGCAAGCTGGACGGGCCTAATGCGCCTGTCCAAGCGGCGAGGATGTTCACTCCTGGTGCCACCATATCCGGCTTGAGAATCTCAAGGCTTACCAGATTTGGCCCTCTGGATGAAAACGCTGCCACCACAGGCGACGGTCTAACCCCAACTCTAGTTCCAAGAAATGTTAGAGTTGCGGTGGCTCTCGGGCTTGTTGAAGCATAATGCTTGATTCCCTTTGCTTCGTTCTCTCCCACAGGAACCGCCGGAACAAGGTGGCAATCCGCCACAAGCTCCTCTCCGTTTGCAGCTGTGTTTGCCAAGATCATCCCAACTCCTCCGGCTTCTTTCACCACCTCTCCCTTCTGCACTCTAGGACTAATCCCACGGTCGCAAATCACAATCTTTCCGGCCACAACTCGGCGATCCAACGTCCCCTCCAAACACAGCGAGCTCGGATTAGGACTAGTTGAATTGCTTCCCAAATACACAACAGGGTATTGCTTGTTTGTTGACAGCATCATCCTTCCCCTGTAGAGCGAAACCCCGGTAATAGTCCTGCCATTTCCGAGCTTCACAGTGGCTGGAAAATCTCTATCCATGGTGCTAGCTCCCACCGTAGTACTTTTCTCTACCATTGTAAAGGCCACTTACATGCGTGTTTTTCTATTAAAAATATGAAAGTTGTTGGATGATGTATCTTTTATTGTATTTTTGTTCGGATGTAACTTTCATTGTTTTTGCTCGAATTTAGGTAGAAAGTGCCAAGAAAGAGTAGAGGTAACAATTTTAGACATATTCGACAATTCGACTTGGAAAAGACAAAAAATAAATTTGTTTGAGTCGGGCATAATCGTGTTGACCCATTTAAAATGGTTAATAAGAGTTTGTGTCTACATCCAACCCACCTAATCCGAAAGCTGTGCACACTTTAGTACGTTTACATAATTGTGTAACTAAGTAACTCGTGTGCAATTCATTTAAGTTGAACGTGGAATGAGAAGTCTAATCTTTTTCTTTCATGTAACCTTTGTATTCTTATGAGTAACTAACAGCAATGCCTTTGATTGTGTTCATGTCAAGAATTTTTTTTGTGTGGCCGGCACATTACTCGAACACCATGAGTCATGATACAATTCATTAAAAAAATATTTCAAATTTCCAGCTAATTATATTATAAAACTTGATGTACCAAGCCGTGTGCCAAGCACATTGAAAATTCTCTCGTTCGCGTCAACACGAAGAGTATATGAGACATTTGGAAGAGTAATTAAGGGTACTTGGTAATTGGTATTGATGTCTTGTGGCTGCAAAGTTGCCACAGCTCTACAAAGTGCTTAGGACATTTGAAAACAAAGCAGAAACACGTCCTCCAGATTCTAAATTCATATGGGATGGAATAATTGGGCAATTAAAAACTTAATTATTCTAATTTATCTTGTTCTGATGAGCAACATAAATGTGTTGTTTGCAACTGAATTCTTCAATTTCAGCACATCGAGCTATTTCTCTTGTTCTAATGTTGAATTAACATTACAACAATCTCCACTCCACTTCCTGACAATGTCAAATTGGATGACAAATTATCTGATTGGCACTTCCAAATACAAGAAGCTCCTCTCCACCTTCACTGGGTTTAGAGTGTTGTGTGGAAGCGCTAATTTGAAACCAATAAACTAATACGAAAAAATATGAAAAACCAAACAATTCAAAATGACACAAAGATTTATACTGGTTCGGCATAAACCTACATCCAGTTTAAGGACAGTGAGGAAGTTCCACTAATAAACAAAACGAGATTACAAAGAAAGCTCTCAAACTCAAACCCAAAATACACTCAAATACACACAAATAGATGAGCGAATAAACGAATTAGAAACAAAATATTTGTCTCTCTGCAACTACAACAATCTCTAACTGGTTTCACTCTTACCAAAAAAAAATAAAAATGCAGCAGCTCCGAATTATTTCTCTCTTCTATTGGGTTTCGGCTCCTCTTCCCGTCATACTAGTGCAGCTGCTTCGGTTCAACCTCTCGTCCAAATTGCACAATGTGAGGCTTTATATTATGAGCGCTAAAAAGACCTAGCATGTGATCCGCACATGCCAACTAAAGAGCCACAACAGTTTGGTTTTAGGTCCGCGTAAGAAAGGGTCGAGACCCAACAGAACTGAGCAGTCAAATCCAACACACAGGAATTATTCTCTTCAGTTTTCCTTTGCCCCATCAGGAAGTACCAATCTTTTAGGATATAAATCCTCCACGTCGGGGGTTTCACCTCAACCAGGGCCGGTCCTGAGTTTTTTTGATGCCCAGTGCGAAAGTTCAAAATGTGCCCTTTTTAGTACAGAAACATATGTTTAAAATAAATATTTTGCGAGCTTAATCACATGTATGTGTAAAAAAATTATCACTAGTAGCATGCAAAATGCCTTCCAATTTCTATCATGTATGTGCAAAATTTTTCACATCAACCAAATTATGATTAAAAACAGATGGAAAATCACATATACGCAGAACGCATTAAACACATCCAATACATCACAATCCAATCACATATTCATCCAATCATCATATAAAATAACATATCCCACTAAATTAATCTCAACTGCATACCATGTGAACCACCAAGTTGTTGAAGAGAAGAGCATGCAAGAACCGGCGGTGCAACTCCGGTGACCAGTTTCGCCTTCGTTTCCCTGTCCATCTTTCTCTTTGTTCTTGTTGTTCCCACCACTGTCTCCACTCACGGTGTCCGTGGTGGAACTAGTAGCCGGAGCCGAAGAAGGTTCTTTAGCCACCGGTCCATTTGTCTTTCCAATGCTTTTTTTTTCCTTTGGAAAGGCTGAAAAGCACCCCATTTCTCTTCATCTCCATCACTATAGCCTTTAACTTGCTCCTCCTGCCATTACCCTACACCTAAAAATCAATACTTTCCACTTCTTCACCTCAAATTTTATAAGCAACCAAACAAAAGGGCAGTCACAAAATTTACTAAAATTGATGAAGGTGGAGTCTTTTTTTTATACCTCTTCGAGTGGTGCATCTGGAGTTGTATGAAATCCGTGTTAATGGAATGAATTCCTCAAAAACATGCCCCTCACTTGAAGTCTGCTCAGAACACTTAGATTGTCCATGCAGGTAATTTGCGGTTGCATCTGAAATCTGCTGCTTGCACCTCTCAATAGCTACAAAAAAAACCCCAATTTTGAAAACAGAAACCAGAACAATTCAAGCAAAAGAAACGAAGCTTCCGACTTAGAACACAAAAATTAAGCTGAAATTTGAGAAGGGTTTGTGTTCTCCGTAGTACCTTGGGCTTGGGCAGTTGGGTGACAAGCTCCAAGCAGAGAGGGAGCTCCCTTTGAAAAACTTGAATCTTATGCCTCTCCTCCATGCCCAAAACCTGGACGACTTGTCCCCTTCAGATACCCTTTATGTTATATTGATTTTTAATCCCCAAAACCTGGACAAGTTATCGCCTACAGCCTTTATTTTGGGCTTTGGACAAATTTTTTTTTATACCTAATTATTTGGATTTTGTTTTTTGGGTGCCCCATTCAACTTTGGGCCCTGGACAATTGCCCCTGTTGCACTGCGCCTGGGCCGGGCCTGACCTCAACTTTGTTCAGCCGCATTATAGCAACACCCCTCACGGTTCCTCTTAGAATGAGCAACTCTTACCAGTGATCTGCCAAAAGCACGAAATTCCGCTTCAGAATTTTCATGATGGATAGTCAGGCTGTGTCATGCTTTGGTTATGCATCTCTTCACTATTGGCATAAAAGAGACGAACTCCACACCTTCTGATGCGATGCTGCTGCCCTGGTACCCAAGAATCACGTGATTGGACTCCATCTAAATGACGAAGGCCCGTGAGTTTATTAATTGATGAAGGCAGTTCTTTGATTGCAGTCCCATCTAAATGAAGCTCTGATAGCATCTCCATTCCTGAAATCTCTGGAAACCTCTCAAATTTTGAGCAGCCTGAAAGAATAAGGGTTTGCAGAGATCCCATACGAATGCTGCTCGGCAGGCTCTTGAGTTCTTGACACCCAGATAGATCCAAAACAGTAAGGCCCGTGAGTTTATTAATTGACAAAGTCAGTTCTTTAATGGTAGTCCCACCTAAATAAAGTTGTGATAGCTTCTCCATAACATCTGAAATATTTGGAAACTTCTCAAATTTTGAGCAACCAGAAAGATTAAGGGTTTGAAGAGATCCCATATGAATGCTGCAGGGCAGGCTCTTGAGTTCTAGACACCCAGATAGGTCCAAAACAGTAAGGCCCCTGAGTTGATTAATTGACGAAGGCAGTTCTTTAATTGCAGTCCCATCTAAATAAAGCTTTGATAGCTTCTCCATAACATCTGAAATCTCTGGAAACTTCTCAAGTTTTGAGCAGCCTGAAAGAAAAAGGGTATGAAGAGATCCCATACGAATGCTGCTCGGCAAGCTCTTGAGTTCTTGACACCCATATAAGTCCAAAACAGTAAGGCCCGTGAGTTTATTAATTGACGAAGGCAGTTCTTTAATTGCAGTCCCATCTAAATATAACTCTGATAGCTTCTCCATAACATCTGAAATCTCTGGAAACTTCTCAAGGTTTGAGCAACCAGAAAGATTAAGGGTTTGAAGAGATCCCATATGAAAGCTGCTCGGCAGGCTCTTGAGTTCTCGACAACCTTTCAGGTCCAAAGTAATAAGGCCCGTGAGTTTATTAATTGACGAAGACAGTTCTTTAATTGCAGTCCCAGCTAAATATAACTCTGATAGCTTCTCCATAACATCTGAAATCTCTGTAAACTTCTCAAGGTTTGAGCAACCAGAAAGATTAAGAGTTTGAAGAGATCCCATATGAATGCTGCTCGGCAGGCTCTTGAGTTCTCGACAGCCTCGTAGGTCCAAAGTAAGAAGACCTGTGAGTTTATTAATTGACGAAGGCAATTCTTTAATTGCAGTCCCATCTAAATGAAGCTCTGATAGCTCCTCCACAACATCTGAAATCTCATGAAACTTCTCAAGTTTTGAGCAGCCTGAAAGAAAAAGGGTATGAAGAGATCCCACACGAATGCTGCTCGGCAAGCTCTTGAGTTCTTGACACCCATATAGGTCCAAAACAGTAAGGCCCGTGAGTTTATTAATTGACGAAGGCAGTTCTTTAATTGCAGTCCCATCTAAATATAACTCTGATAGCTTCTCCATAACATCTGAAATCTCTGGAAACTTCTCAAGGTTTGAGCAACCAGAAAGATTAAGGGTTTGAAGAGATCTCATATGAATGCTGCTCGGCAGGCTCTTGAGTTCTTGACACCCAGATAGGTCCAAAACAGTAAGGCCCGTGAGTTTATTAATTGACGAAGACAGTTCTTTAATTGCAGTCCCAGCTAAATATAACTCTGATAGCTTCTCCATAACATCTGAAATTTCTGTAAACTTCCCAAGGTTTGAGCAACCAGAAAGATTAAGGGTTTGAAGAGATCCCATATGAATGCTGCTCGGCAGGCTCTTGAGTTCTCGACAGCCTCGTAGGTCCAAAGTAGCAAGGCCCGTGAGTTTATTAATTGATGAAGACAGTTCTTTAATTGCAGTCCCACCTAAATATAACTCTGATAACTTCTCCATAACATCTGAAATCTCAGGAAACTTCTCAAGGTTTGAGCAACCAGAAAGATTAAGGGTTTGAAGAGATCTCATATGAATGCTCCTCGGCAGGCTCTTGAGTTCTTGACAGCCACGTAGGTCCAAAGCAGGAAGACCCGTGAGTTTATTAATTGACGAAGACAGTTCTTTAATTGCAGTCCCACCTAAATATAACTCTGATAGCTTCTCCATAACATCTGAAATCTCAGGAAACTTCTCAAGGTTTGAGCAACCAGAAAGATTAAGGGTTTGAAGAGATCTCATATGAATGCTGCTCGGCAGGCTCTTGAGTTCTTGACACCCAGATAGGTCCAAAACAGTAAGGCCCGTGAGTTTATTAATTGACGAAGGCAGTTCTTTAATTGCAATCCCATCTAAATGAAGCTCTGATAGCTCCTCCATAACTTCTGAAATCACTGGAAACATCTCAAGGTTTGAGCAACCAGAAAGATTAAAGGTTTGAAGAGATCCCATATGAATGCTGCTCGGCAGGCTCTTGAGTTCTCGACAGCCTCGTAGGTCCAAAGTAGCAAGGCCCGTGAGTTTATTAATTGATGAAGGCAGTTCTTTAATTGCAGTCCCACCTAAATATAACTCTGATAGCTTCTCCATAACATCTGAAATCTCAGGAAAACTTCTCAAGGCTTGAGCAACCGGAAAGACGAATGGTTTTAAGAGACTTCATACCAGTGATGCTCGGAAGAATCTTAAGATCAATGCACCAAGTTAGACTCAATATAGCAAGGTTTTTTCAAAGCTGAAATGGATGGGTCAACCTCACATAACCTTGTACAATTTTCGAATCTCAGTTCCTCAAGACTTGTAGCCCTTGTGAAGTCAGGGGTTTTCTTAAGGTATTGACAATGACATAAATTGATGAATTTCAACTTTTCCAGAGGCTGTTAAAAAGTCCAAGAAAACATGCACAACTCAGAACCTAAACTTTGAAAATAATAAATTTACGTAAATGAAAAATCGTACCTCAGCTCCTTTCCAAAGTTGTTCGATGCAACTATAGCTCATGTCAAGGTTTACAAGATTCTTGAACTGAAAGTTGGATGGCCAAGACTTTAGGGGGCAATCACGCCAGATGAGGCACCTCAATTGAGAAGATTGGAACTTTAAGTCCGCAATCCAGTGTTCTATGAAGCAATCACTTGGAGTTTGATGGCCAAATGAATCCCTGACTGCAAAGATGATATTTGTAAAAATGCTTGGTGTAAATATCAGCGTCATCACCGATCATGAGCAGTCTTAGTTTTGTCATACTAACAAAAGCTTCAGTATTTGAGCATCCCTCTTTCAAGATTGCCGAATCCAGGATTATGGTTTCAACTGCTTCTGTAGCCTGGATAAACCAACAATGTAATTTAAAGTGAAGGAAAACACTGACAACCTTATTGAATATTATAAACAATGCATGTTTGCTATAAATAGATTTTGGTCAAAAGCTGAAGTTTTCTACTAAACATTGCATAAGAAAAAGATATCTCACTGTATTTTTAGTCAGCACATGATGAACATCTTCATAACTCCACAACCTACTTCTTCTCCCAGGCTCTTTGATAGATTCTTGGCGAACGATTTCCCGACCCATTTCCTCTAGTAAATCATGCATCTCCAGTGTCCCCCACTCTGAGACAGATATTAGAGCTCGATCAATTAGAACTCTTATTCCAGTATGGGGATAGAAGCCACAACTGTCCAGAATTTTTTTTGCCATGTCTATATCCATTCCTTTCAAGAAACATGCAATATCTAGAAAGACATTCTTCTCTGAATCATCCAGTCCATCGAAGCTTGTTTTAAGCACATTATGAATTCCCCTTTGCGGGATCTTCCTTATTTTTTCTAACACATCTTCCCACTCGGGCAATGTTTTGTTATCAAGAAAAGCTCCCAACACTTTGAGTGCTAAAGGCAGACCTTGAGCATATTGTATGACATCCCTTGAGAGCTGATCATAAACTCTGGTGGGTTGGTTTGTTCTGAAGGCATACTGCTTGAAGAGTTTAAGAGCTTCTGGCTCCCTTAAGTTCTCGGGCTCATATACAGCACCAGCTCCACTTAATAATTGTTTATCTCTAGTTGTTATAATGACCCGACTTCCACCGCCAAATGAATGCTGCTCTCCAAGTAAGGCTTCGATTTGGGATAATTCATCAACGTCATCAAGAACAATGAACACTTTTTTCCTTTGTAGCCTTTCCATTATCACTCTGGAACCTCGATCCAACGTGCCTAAACTCTGCACCTTTTCCTTCAAGATTCTAGAAAGAAGCACTTCCTGCATATGTGCTGCACCATTTTTCGAGAAGCCTTCCTTGATATTTTCGAGAAAGCAGCAAGCTTCAAATTGACAAGCGATTTCATCATAAACAGCGCGAGCGATGGTGGTTTTGCCTATACCTCCCATACCCCATATTCCAACAGTGAAAACATCATTCACCCCAGGACGTAACAGTGAATTCACTTTATCTATGTGGTAATCCATTCCAACCAAGCCATTATCTTTGCTTGAGGAGACATGGATCAATCTCTTAAATATGTCATCCACAATTTCCTCAATAAGCTTGGCATCATCCCTGTGAAATATGAAAAACAGCACCGAATTAAACTAGATGCTTTAAAAATCCCAATTCAATAGTAATTAAGAATATAATTGAACAGTAATTACTCGTATTTTCGCGAATCCCATCCGGATAAATTGGTGGCTCTGGTTAGTGCGGACCTCCAGCTCTTCACCTCTTCCATTTCGGCGTTCGATTCGCGTTCGTGTTGAGCAAAAGCTTCTGCAAAACTTCTCTTGAGCTTACGAACTTCAGATGGATCGACTTGGTAGAAGATCGGCACCACTATCTGATTCTTTGTATCCATGCACGCCAGGATTTTGACCAGTTCTTTCAAGCACCACGTCGAAGAAGCGTAGTTCTGGGAGAAAACCACGATCGAAATCCTTGACTCTTCGATGGCTGAAAGGAGTTCCGAAAGGTCGTTGCCTTTTCTGAGCTTTTCCGCGTCGATGAAGGTGTTGATTGCTTTCTGATCCAGAGCTCTGTAGAGATGGCCGACGAAGATCTTGCGAGTGTCTTCGCCTCTGAAATTCAGGAAGACGTCGTATTTCCATGAGGAAGACGAAGAAGCAGCCATTGACATCTGACAGGGACAATATCCACAGCAGATGGTCAACTACCGACTCGCCTAATGCAACGTAAAAGCTGAAATGGCCGATTAAGCGTCAGCTTTTGGAGTTGGGAGTTAAACGATCGGCTGGAAAAAATGTAATTAAGCGTCAGCTTTTGGAGTTGGGAGTTAAACGATCGGCTGGAAAAAATGTACCCAAAGATATGATTCTGTTTGGCTCACCGGTGCGGTGATGTTGGGTTCGTGGAGGATGATGGAGCATTCGTGTCCTGCACTTTTTGGGCTGTCTTTTGGTTTATCTCGTGGATCTGTTGGACGTGCTGTGTTGGGAGTTTTCTTGGGAGTTTTCTTGCTTGACCTTATCTTCTTCTGGATCCCTGCAGCCGTTCATCCGTTTGGCTCACCAGTGCGGCGATGGGGACGACGACTTCAACAGTTTCTCTGCTGCTAGGGTTTTCTTCTTCTTTGAGCTTTGTTTCTGTTTGGGCCTAATCTCTGTTTTTTGGGGCCTTTTTCGTTTCCGCTGTGATTTTTTTGTTTGTTTTAATGAAATATTAAAACAAAAAAAAA